CGGGTGACCTCTCTCCGGAGGCCTGGGGGGAGGAGGGTGTGGCCCAAGATCCCTCCGCCCCCCACCCCTGCCAGGTCCAACGACCACCCAGTGCCCTGTCCCAGCCTCTCCCTTGGGGCTGTCATAAAATGGGGGTGGGGGTCGAGGACAAAGGGCTCTTGGGGGGAGGGGTCTGAAGGGGGTGGGCGTTGCCAGTTTAGGGTTAATGGCGGCGATGGGGGGGTACCCAGCCCTGGCCTAGGGGGGGATCTGGGATCCCCACCTGCCCCCTCCACCGGCCCCAACGTGGAGGTCTGTCCTGCTCCCCTCCCCCATCGGGCGACCCGGAAGGGTCATTAAACCCAGCAGGGCTCGGAGCGGGCTGGTGGGGGGAGTGGCTTCCTTTGGCCTCTTCCTTCTGTGCCCCCAAAGAGGGGGGGGCTTTGCTTGGAGCTCTTCCGTCGGGGGGGGCTTGTCTTGAAGTTGTCACAGGTGGGGGAAGGGCGACAGACCCGACCAGACCCTGAGTCAGAAATGCCCCCTCAGCACTTTCTTGGGTTGGGTGGGTGGGGGGTGACCGCAGGCCAGGGGGTGGGGGGCTGGGTGCCGCCCTGGTGGCCTCTGGACCACCAAGCTCTCCTGGTCACTCCTCAGCACTATGGCCCTGAGGTCTTTGTGACCTGGGACCTCTGTCCCCACAACAGATGGAACAGAGGCTTATTTCGGAACGTGCCCTCCCTGCTTTCTCCCAGGGGCCACCCACCTGCCCCCCACTGCCTTTCACCCATGGGGCCGAAAGACTCAGGGGTCTGGGTAAAGGATATCTGGGGCAGAGGGGGCTGCACGGCTCTCCCCTCCCGTGACTGGGAAGGCTTGAGGGGGTCTGCTGTGTAACACTGACCTGGGTGGGGTCAGGTCACAGGAGGCATCTGAGTCCCAGGGGTCCCTGCCTCCTCGCCTCTCCAGACCTTGTCTACCCAGGAGCTGTTTATGAGTCTTGGGGGCTCCTTTGCCAGGGTAAGGGTTGGGGGCGGCCTCCTGGGCCCAGCTGCCTCTCCGGAGGGTGGAGCTTTGCCCCCTCCGCTGTCCCCATGATGTGCCTTCCCTCTGGGGTGTCACTCCAGGCCTGTTGGGTTCTGCCCAGCCTGTTTTATTGGCGGCCTGGGCGGGTGGAGGTGTGGCCTGGGCTGGGGGGTGGCTGGGGTGGCTGGGTTGGGACCCAGCCCCCGGGAAGTCTGTGTTCCTCGCCCAGGCCATTAGGACTGGCCCTGGGTGGACGGGACTTTAGGCTGGAGTGAGTGTGTTGCCGTCCCAGACATCCGGCCCACTCGGAGTCCCAGAGGACTGGGAAACTCCAGACCCCTGTTGCCCTGCGGAGACTGTGAGGTCTACGTGGGAGGCTCTGTGGTCACCCAGACCTGGGTTCAAACCCCAGCCCCATGTGTCCAAGCAGAGGGTCCCTGAGCCTCAGTTGTCCTCAACTGTGAAATGGGACCACCCTGGTGCCCCCTTCCCTGACACCTGTTGGT